CATAGAAAGAGATGGATTGTGTGAAAGGTGACATGATGAAGGGAGTGATGACAGATGACGTATGATAGAGTTATGTGGAAGACAAAAACCTGTTGCGCCTTACGGGAATAAGATAAAGTGGATGATGACGATGATTATACAGAAAATAAAATTGTATCTCTCTATCCCCATATGGAGACAGATGAGAATAAAAAGTTTCCAGTCCCACCTTTTGCGACAAGGGGACGGTTGGACCTTATTTCATAACGGTCCCTGTCACCTTATTGGTGATAGTGGGACTTAAAGTGGGGACGGATGAAACTTTATTCTCATGTGAGGACGGAGCGGGGTGACGGTTGGGAATAATCTGACGGCAAGCTGTGTTTTGTTACGCCAACAGCCAGTAGACAACTTAATCTATTGTTACTCTACTAAAATAAGTAAAAAAGAATTAAACGTCAAAAATTTGTTTCCAAGCTAAATACTACTTAATTAATTTGTGTTTTCTTGCAGGAATTTCCATTTTTAGTTCAAAGGCGGACGGAGAATTCATTATTATTAGAAAATGGCGACTACGCAGTAGTCTGCTTAGACTGTTATGAAAGTTTAAGGTATGTAACCGTAACGTTTGGGTGGATGTTTGTTACTATGTATGTCTATAACGGCTCAACGGATTTTGATGAAATTTAACACAGATGTAATAAAGTCTGGAAAAAACATAGTCTACTTTGTAATATTTTTTCATTTCTTGCTTTCTTCTATCTAGATATCTATCTATTTTAAATTTCATCATTAAAAAGCTTAGTTGTCAGTTATTAAAAGCTATGTTTTATATTATTTTTTAATTTTACACGAACGGAGTCGACGTAATCTAGTATGTAATAAAATGTAATTACATTGACTATGTATGACAGGACGCAAGCGCAGGACTACGAGCGGCGCGGCGTGCCAGTGGAGAAGCGCGAGTACAACTGGCTCCAGCAGCCGCCGCCGCCCGAGGACAGCGCTGACGTCACCATCGCCAGGCTTCCCTCCGGCGACAGATCCGACAAGCTGGTCAGTGCACGTGCCCGTTACACCGGTACACTGTTATTACACCGACACACTACACACTGAACCATCATTACACATACTTACAAAATTGACATTACGCCGACACACCACATTGTTATTACACTGACCCTCTACATTGTCTTTACATCGTTACACTACACCGTTATTGTAACGATAATACACACTGAGCCTTCATTACACAAACTTACAATACTGACATTACACCGACATACTACATCGTTATTACCACACTATACGGACATTACACCGGTACACCGATTCTCACATTACACCGAATTACTACATCGTCATTACACCAACTCACCAATTACACTGATATACTATACTGACATTACACTGAAACGCTACGCCATTATTACACTGAATCACTGCGCAGTTATTAACCTCAGTCAAATCCACTACCCGATCCCATCTTTTTCTTAAGAAAAGAATGGAAATAGGAAGGAGATGAAGTAAGCTTAAGTCTACGACATACAATCATCAGACTGTATCGTAATACTGTGGCTGTGGTATTTTGGAATGAGTTATGTTCTAACAATGGTTTTTTTATAACATAAGGTGGCAAACGAGTAAGCGGCCACCTGAATCCACCGAAATGGAAAGCAACCGCAGCCCATAAACATCCGCAATTACAGATGCGTTACAGACGCATATGAAGGGGAAGACATTTCCCCTTCATATGCGTCTCCTTCACCGTCAAATCCACTCTACCTTCCCATCTTCTTTTAAGAAAAGGGTGGAAAGGGAAAGGGACTAGAATTAGGCCTCCGGCCCCACGCTCATCAGACTGTACGCGGAATTGCTTCCACTTCAGGCCTGGTTTCTGAGTGGTTATGGTATCGGTGGGCGCCAGCCCTGCAGTGCGAAGATGTTAAAGCGGGCTCTACCAGTGTTCAAATGTACATGTTGCGCAGATCCCGCAGTCGCTGGTGGTGTCGCGGAGCGCGGCCAAGCGCAACAGCCCCAAGCACTGCGCCGCGCCGCCCGACCGCCGCGCGCACAAGCCGGACAAGGAGCAAGGTAAACATTGCACATTCACATTCACATACCAATAACTTAACTTTACTTTCTTCTTTACATTTGTCAAATTCTCAATTGCAAATCTTAAAATTACCATGATAATCTTGCTTCTTGATGTTGGCAGCAACTTATGGTCTCTTTCCCACATTAGGCTTTTTATCCAAAAATATTTACCCAATAAGTTTAATGGCGTTGAAATATATAGCCTAAAGCATGACGTAAGTGTAGTGGAAAATAATTATTCAAAAATATGGTGTAATTGCTGACATCTTAGGCAACAAAGAAGTGTGTGTTTACGCTTTATTATAATAGTATAGATATAGGTAAATGTCCACAGAAATCGACTATATATTTAAAAGTAACTTAAATGACATTATGGGATGATTTTTAACTTAAAAAATCTCCTATTATTAGTTTCCAATTTTATCTTGTCTATGCAATAACAATATGTCCTAACAAATGTATAGAATTTAATATTTCCAACCACATTTCAATCACTATAAATTATTTGTATCAAAAATTCCTATTGCAAAATAAATTCCCCAAAAGCTATAAACAATTCGTGAAATGCCACGTATATTGAAATGTCGCCAATAATTCAGTATTCGGTCAAATATCGCTCAATTGAAAACAGAGTATGTAGCAGTGATTTGGTAACTTTGCCTATTAAGAGACAGGATCCGACAAGCACGTATTCTCACTGAAAGTATAACAAATTATAATCTAGTTTGTGTGTCATATCGTGTGTGCTTGAGTCGATTTATAAAGACGTCATAATATTATTAAAGATATTGGTACAGTTGAATATGCTTAGTCCTTTTTTCTATAGTCAAAGTATTCTAAACGAAGCATAGCTGAAATACGTACTTCATCGTTATTATACTGAAATGTTACTGAATTGTACTAAAAGTTTTTAATCCAAGCCAATTTAAACTTAATTTCAGTACTTTAGAGTTCGTATTTCCGTAGCAATGTTGAAGTTTATGGCTATTTGGTTCCAATGAGATCGTATGAGAGGAAGCGAGGATATCACAACATATTGGTATTTTGAGTAGATTGTTTACTGGCGGTGTAAAGTATAAGCGTATAGCGATTTTGTCTTGAAAAATCTATAAAAGTTCATTCCATATTTTAATGCGAAATCTACTTTTTACAGTTTATATCAATGGTTTTAGGTTAGTTTTATTTTTGTATATAATGAATGTTGTTTAACTCTTGGTGTTGATTGTTGGAAAGTATACATAATTAGCTGTTGCGCGCGTCTTCATCCGCTTGAAATTACATTTACAAAAATACATACCCTATGTTACTCAGAATTCTTGAAATTGGCTAAATAGTTACTGAGTCGATTTTAATACGCACAAAAATCCAAAAATACAAATCTTTACCCTTTATAATATTAAGTATAGATATTTATACTATTGCCGCTCATAACTTGGACCACATACAAACCACCCTTCCCCCGCCGCCCTCTGCGGCCCGTCTGATATCGGAATTGATTCGCGTCACACTTTGTTGCCTTGTTTTGTTATTCAACGAGCAGACGAACTCTGCACAAACACACCGTCAATTGTACAAATTTCACTCCTAAAAGCGAATTATTTCATGTAATATTAATTGAAGATTGACTTTACGATGTTTGCGATTTAATGCCGCACTCACAGTCGTTAATTCCTCATTCCGCGATAACCTTATTATAGATTCCTCTAACGCACTCTACTAGAGACCACTTAAGAATCGCCAATGTATTTCGCTAAAAAACTATAAAATATACATTACATTTTAGTTTTAATTCGACGGTATTTCTAAATCGTAACAAGTTTTTTAAATTATATTTATCAAAATAAACAATGTATAACACATTTATAAGTATATCATTAATAATAAAAAACGACAGTCAACCTTTTTCTCCGCTTATCGCGTCACTGTAAACTGTATACGTTATCATTAACTGTGGAGGCAACGCTCATGTGTGTGATGCGTCAATAAATTCCCTGTCGCGACGCGGCCAGGGTAAGGGAGGTGCGGAGTGACGCACTCCAGCCGAGAGATTATTGGAAAGCCATTTGCGGCTCTACGGTGTAAGATGTAAGAGGTAGCGAGATTGGAATTTTTAACATTGTTACGTGCCTTGTTTCTATAAGATTATTTCGTTTTTCATATTAAACTGGCTGTTGCGACGTCTGCGTAAAATTAAAAAATAATAAACATGGCTTATGCTACTCACTGACTGTAGCTTTTTAGTGGTGAAAAAGTTTTTGAATTATTTCAATTGCCGCTTGCTCATTGCAAAAAAGACCGCTTGCTGGTTTGCCAACTTAGTATAAAAAAAAAATAATTATTAATCACAGGTATTCTTGTTTTGATCATTTTTTTTATAATAATTGAAATTGCATTCAGGTTTATTGAATCATTTTCGAGCAAGTTGTCCAATAATTTAAACAATCGCGTGAGTGTTTCACTTGGGCCACACTTTAAACAATCAACAAGGCACCGTGCAACTCGCAACGCAATGTTGAATCTCATCGATCCAATCTCACTAAACTAACGTTCGTGTTTGATGTATTTGCTGATATAGCGATAATTATATTTGACTGAATTTACGCTATTGATCAATGTATGTGTGGTCGAAGTCGCGGATAAAAATTAGGGCCTGTCCCACCAAATTGTAAATTGTCCGACAATCCAACACGTAAAATATGTTATGGAAATATCGGATTTTGTTACGTTATTTGACAGTGAAGTCATTTTTAAGCTATCTGAGCCTCTATCAGCCAGTGGTGGGATAGGTTAGTCTTTATAAACACCCCGAATAACGTTGTTCAGAGTAATAAAGGTTGTGAGACGTTGGCGGCAACACGAGACCCGCATTTTTATAATAGTTGACAAACTGTGTTTACTCGCTTTGTCTTCCTTTGTCTTAAGGGTGTTTGTGCTTGTAAATGTGCTCTTGGTTTACGAATGTTATGTAAACCAGATTGTAATTGACTTTTTAACACTACCGTTTGCAGTAAATTTTACAAGTATATTTGTTGATTTAAAGAATGTTTAGAGAACTGATACATTTTGTTTAAGTTAACGATATATTTGTAGAGGTTTTTTTGCCTTTAAAAATAACGATACGTGGCAATCTTTTGATGCCCACAGTAATTCACATAGCTTGCTTTTCTAGAATTTTAGATTCTATTAGCGCAGAAACGTCATGTTTTTATCAGGTGTCAAGGAGTTGTCGGCTAATTGGCGCTGCGCTCGACCGACCGTATCGCGACTCGCATTGTGCCGCTCGAGCGCACTGCAGCTGCAGACGATAGTGATGTGATGAAATGTTGAAGTTGTCGATAGTCGATAGTTTATAAATTATTCGTTGAGGCTGTCTCTAATTGGTAGAGTGTATGTAAAACAACGACAATTCAACAATAAATGTAACAGTAGAGTTGATTTTTTTGAAGTCTTGTTACAATATAAAATTTATCGGTAAGTTTATAGGTATTTGACGTGAACTAATTTTTATTTTATATTTAAGAACAATCGTGTAAGCAATAAGCCGATATTTTATAAACTTATTTAGATTGTACTTACTGTAATGTTTTATATTATTTTATCGATATCGACAATATCGATGTACATCATCCCATCACTATCAGAGCACCCTCTCCTGCCACAAAGCGGAGGGCTCTCCGCCGATGTTGGCGATATGCCGCGAGCCGTCGCCTTTGTTTTGTTAAAACTCCAACCTCATGCACCCCCCACACCCCTTGCCCGAGCGATGGTTGGTTAAGTTTTTTTCCTACGTGCCAGCTACTTTTGACTTTGTACAGGTTTTACGGTTCAATGCAGTACAGCGCCCCATTTTGCAGGAACATATATTTTCAACATATTTAGATTGCATTTTTCAGCTCTATTTTACTTCTATCTAAAATTAAAAACCTATCAGTTTTATAAAATTATCTTTCGAAAACAAAATTATGAGAATCTAAATTTTCTTCTGCCTGGAGTTTGAAGTTCTTAATTCTATATTCATATATAATTACGTCATTTATTGTATCTCTCTTGGAGAGTTCAATTATCGTAAAAAAATAATTATAATTAAACATACAAAAAATTGGCACTAATTTCGAACTTATATCGCATATTTATAGCCTCGCTATCAGTGTACATCAGACTTTATGTCTGGTTGTAATGCGCATGCTCGAAGCCCGCGGCGGGCTATTTGTCTGTACTGCGGATGCCGGCAACTTTTAGCGCCCCCAACCCCTGACTTGCAGACAATAACTTATATTTATGTGTTCACACTTTAAGTCCTTAACACTTAAATTATTTTACATTTTTTTACTGTCACAATGTCTAAGTTTTTCTATGAAGTTAGTGTTTCTCATACTAAATACACTTAGTGACAGCCCTTAAAGGACCCTTAGTAATTATGGACCAATATTTTTATCGGTATTTTCGAATACCTTCAAAGTTAGTGTGCAGATTCTTTATAAATTTTACGAAATAAAATGAGATAAATTTCTTAAAGACATACCTTTATTCCAACTAATGAATGGCGTGCTGTTTGCTCCATTTATGTTATACTCAGTAAAGTGGCTTTCCTCTACTCGGGGCCGACCACTTCGCCACTAAGTGCACTTGGTTTACCAACTTAGAGC